TGAGACAAGCTTGATAACCATTACACCACGCTGAAGCGCCCAGTTCACAGCTAAAATGCAGTTTTTTTCATAATTTCACCCCAAGCAAAACAGAAATGCTACTATTACGCAGAGGGAGGAGTTGCAGTGAGTGAAAGTGAGAGAAAAGAGTGAGGTTTCCTAATCATTTCACCCCAAACAAGGTTAAATATCTCTAGTACGCAGGGGCTTACAGGGAGTGAAAGTGAGAGAAAAGACTGAGTATAGGGAGGACAGAGGAAAGAAGAAAAGATGAACGGGATACAAGAAGATAGAAAATGGCGATTGACGTTGCATTTAACGATTTCCTCCTAGACAAGACAGGAATGACATTAGTATGCGGGGGCTTGCATAGGAGATAATATGAGAGAAAAGCCTGCGTATAGGGAGGATTGAGGAAAGGAGAAAAGATGAACGGGTTTCAAGAAGATAGAAGACGGCGATTGATGTTGCATTTAAGGTTTGCTAATCATATCACCCCAAACAAGGCAGGAATTCCACTAGTACGCAGGGGGGCTTACAGGGAGTGAAAGTGAGAGATAGATTGAGTATAGGGAGGATTGAGTAAAGGATAAAAGATGAACGGGTTTCAAGAATATAGAAAATGGCGATTCACCAGACATTTAATTTTTTGAATATTGTAGATATCAGGGAAGCAAGCAAACGGAAGTGAGTTCTACAGGTGGGACCTAGATGCCAATCTAGTAATACACTCAAATTCGTGAAGTCGGGGCACCAGGAAAAAAATAGTTGACATGAAAATATTTTTAGGAAAAGGAAACCAAAGCACATTCGTTAGAAAGTCACTGAAGTCAGGTCAGGATCGATTACATTGCAGAGCCTTGTGGGAGTCAAGTTTGAAAATGTCTGAAACTAATGACGGGGTTGTGCGCATATCATCCAGTAGAGCCTCCATTCTAGGGGAAATTCAGATGTGGGTATTCCAGATTAGTCGAGTGTGGAGTTGGAAGAGTACTTACGAGCAAAGCATTCAATCTTATCTACTGTATATGTGAGGACTTCAAATTGATTCAATAGAGGAGGGATCGAGGATTTTCTGTTGTTCAGCAAATTCTTGCTGAGTCGCAAATAATCTGTAGGACTGAACTTGTGAGAAGCTATTGGTTGTTTCATTCAACGCGCTTGAACTTGTTACGCGCAGACATGAGGGTGATAACCAACGTTTTATTTGTTATTTCCGTGTTTGAATAAAAGCTTCGATGTCGACTTTCACCCAGGAGGCGACGTCAGAAGAGCAATTTCGAACAGGATGATTAAAAACTTAGAAACGTCATGAAGGTGGTCACAAAACGAGTCCTAATCAGCTCATTTATAACAAAAAAGTTCGTACTAAGAAAATTGTTCGAAAATAATTGTTCGAAAACAATTATTTGAAAATCATTTATTCAAATTTTAAATTATTTGAACGAAAATGAATCTAATGTACACATAATCCAGAAAGATATTCTGTTAGTAAAAGGTTTTTGGCTGGTGGGAGATCAGAAAGAGATGTTTACAGACAATCGCATGATCAGAGTTGCCAAGAGGGTAGAGCTGCAGAGTACAACGTGAGTCAAGAATAGGGGTAAAGAGGAGATCAGGAAAATAAGCGTGTCCATCTGGGGGAACTAGTGGGAAATTCACCACTTGCGTGAGTGTTTGAGTGATTGAGAAATTCAGGGTTTGGATGCCAGCTAGGTCAGTGACTGTATGATTAAGCCACCTGGCATGGCGGGCATTAAAGTCACCGAACACAAACATATTTGCCAACGGGTGTAGAAAGATGACCCTGTTTATATTATCAGAAATACTATCTAGCACACAACAGCCATGTGACATCGTCCCCCGTTCGCAGCGCCAACTGTGACGTTCTATCCTGATCTACCACGGCGCCAGTTGTGACGTGGCCGTTCCAGGGTCCTATCCCGGTCACGACACCAGATGTGACGTCCCTAAACAGCACCAATTGTGACGTCTTCGCCGCGGCGCCAGCTGTTCGCTCCTCGCTGCTCCGTCCGGGTGTCGCTGCTCCAAACGTGACGTTCTAACCCTTTGGTGATTCGGGTAGGAATCTGTTTAGATTGATATCAGCCTCGCCGTTCCCAACCTGCTTCCAACGCCTGGTTACCAAGGTAACTGCACTGATCTCCAGTCTGCCTACCCACGTTGAGAATTGATCTTAGACAGACGAGATCAAACAGGGGTTAGGGCCGTAATGCAAATTGAGTTCAACGGGGTGATAACACACAAATATGCATGAAAGAAAATAAAATGAAAACTCAAAAAGTTCAAAGTATCAAAGAAAAAGGTAACAAACTTTTTATGTCTAGTTGTTCGGTACATAGGACTGCATCTACCTCCCGACCCGTTCTATGGATTGTGGCACGACGCTTTCGCTAAGCAAGTTTTTAACGCTTCAAGTTGTCTGCTCTCTAAGAAATTTGTGTTTCGGTGTGTCTTTGGACAAAAGTCGAAAAACTTATTTCTGTGGTCTGGTTCTAAGTCGCTCTTCAAACTAATTGTTCTTGGTTGAAGAAGAATCCAAAATTTTGCGTGAATCTTGGTCAGCTATCTTGAGGCGGCTTGAACTACTGGGCACTCATCTCTACCGCCAGGTCTGAATTAACTCAGCACTCAGAGCCAAACGAACTCTTCTCTGCCCGCCTGGGTCGAACGAACTACTGGGCACTCATCTCTGCCCTCCGGGGCTGAACTAACTCTGCCTGCCAGAGTCCGACGAACTGATTTCTGTCTGGTGGGGCTTCGTTTTTATTGACGCCGTCAAAACCGGAGTGGGTCTGTTGGCGTCGGGGGTTCTTCGATAATTCTAAATACATATCCACCCTTCTTATTTCTGGTTAGGGATTTTCCACTCTTTTCCATTTTTGGTAACTTTTTTTTCACTCCCACTTTCTCACCATGCTTCTGAGGGGCGTGAACTTTCCTCCCCACTTCTTCGTAGCGGCTTCTCATACTTATACTCTGGATAGGGCGTCGACTGTTTTCTTCGTGCGTCACGTGACCACTCTCGGCCAATGAGGTCTTGGTCGGGTATCTTCCCTCCTCTTCCGTGCGTCATGTGATCACCACTTGGCCAATGACGTCTTAGTCGGGCGTGAACAACCCGTGGCTTTGTTTTGGAAAAGAAATATACCTTGCTTAACAAAAAAAATTAATGATTTCTCCTCTTTCTATTTTTCTTTCTTTCAAATCGCCGTTATCATGAACGGTTAATGTGACAACTCTCTGTTCAACACGTGGCGTTTGTCACGCAGTTTATCGGTAATGCACTAGACAGCTGGATTATCTGACATGGTCTAAGAAAGGAATTTTCTCCAAGTTTTCCGCCAAATTGGCGTCTCCAAAGCAGAAATAAAAATATGTCAGTTTCCTTCGGTTCATGTGTTTGATAACAAAATTTTATTATCGCAGGGCAAAAGTCTATTCTGTCGAAAAAAAAACTTAGCCAGTGAAGCTACTTGTGTGGGATTTTAATTTTCCATACCCATCCAAGGCCCCAAGCCACACCTGTGTTTCGTCAATTATCAAAATCTAACGCTCCAAAGTGGACTTCTTCTTTGGTGACATCTCTTGATAACACAATTCCATTTTTCGCGGATAAGCGGAAATCGGTTAATGTTTGTTCGCAGGTGGCCTAGATATTTTCTCGTACCAATAGTTTAGATAACCACCTCCTCGCCCACTCAATCTCATTGTCATTGAAATAAAACTCTTTTCGACATTTGACACCTATCAAAAATAACCCTTTTCTTTCTTATTCCCGTCTCTTAAGCCGTGTGTGTGTGTGTGTTCGCCTATGACCCGTCTCGTATTACTTTTTCCTTTTCCTTTTCTTCGTTTTCTCTTTCCTTCTTCCAAATCGCCTGAATGCATAGCGGCTCAATCTTGCAAAAAGAAAGAATTATTCTTAAAACCTAAAATACATTTCGGCCTTAAATAATCCTCAAATGGTTGATAAACCGTAAAAAAGCAAATCATATATCTATAAATATATCTTTCAAATCGCCCGGATGCATGGTGCCACAGCCATGACAAGAAGGAGAACGGTAGAGAAAGAAGAGATAGCTGACTGAGTTTAATAGAGAGAGTCAGGGCACGTGTATGAATGATCTGGAGATTCAAGATGTCCGCAAATGTCACCCTAACCAGCGGGGGACGTTTGCGGACATAAACTCCCAGGCTATGCACGTGGGCCTTAGATTCCTTCCTAAAGAGGGGAATTTATCTAGGAATCGAGAATTCAGTGGAGAATATTGCAGAATAAAAGATTAGGACTCTATTACACTTTGGCACCCACTTTCCGCCATGTTTTTTTTCCCGCGACTATTTTATTTTCCTGTTCCTTATTTTCACAAAAAAAGTTCCGTGGCAATTTGATGTCAGAAGTTGAAAAAACGCAAATCACTAAACCTTTGAGCCCATATAAATTCCGCTAGGTATCCAGAAATGATCCCCCTGTTGGGGCGGGGGGCATTAATAGTTTTAAATTTGGCCTGGGCCCGCTGCCATATTGCTTAAACTCGAGCTGTGGTGACTCCAGTGTTAGGATCTACAAAGTTCTTACAGTGTCATGGTTGAAGCCATTGTTTATCAAACCATTGTATGAGGCCCACATATTAGTCCAGACTGTCTTACCTGAGGCAACCCATTGCTCAGGACGCAAGTGGAGGTGCGAAAGTGTAATAGCGCCAAGATTAGTTTCGCAGAGATCTAGGATGTTCAGAGATTGTTCGAAGAGGAACGATTCCACGCTACAGAAATTGGTACGAATACCGCGAATGTTAGAGAAAGAAAGTTGTAAAAAAAAGTAAAAAAATATATATATTTAAGAAGTACAGAAACACATTAATTAGAAAAGGTATGATTAAATCGTTTTTTTTTTAATTTATTTTGAACTTGTATATATATATATATATATATATATATATATATATATATATATATATATATATATATGCAATTTACGTATATGACATAGTTTGCGAACTTTCAGCAGATGCCGTCCGGCTCCTCTCAACGCGAAGATAGCAGCAGCAACAAGAGAATAATTCCACCAGTCTGTTTTCGTTCGCTCTCTCTTCAAGTACATAGTCCTGGTCGGTGACATCGCAAATATTCTCTTCAGATGAATCAGTCCTAGAAGGGAGAGAACTGCTTGCTGACTTAGGTTCCAAAACAACGCATGTGCTATTCCCTTCCTCTTGCGCGACACTTTCGCATTCAGGCGATATTAAAACGTCTTCAGACCACTTTGGTGAAACTATGTTCACCGATGGGATTATGTAACCTGCGGTAACGTCTGGCCTGGCCTCGACTGCCGTAGTTGATCTTTCTTTATAAGTAGTAGCTAGATCCGTCCTCCTTTGTTCAAGTCGCTGGGATGGAAATTGAGATTCGGAATATCTGAGTTGAGACGGAGTTTGCCGCTCTGCTTCTAGTGTGATTGTCCTCTTTGATCTACATGTAACTTGTATGTCTTGAATCGATGGTTCTTTAACCGTCATGTTACTTGTCTCTTCAAGTTGGATCCCTGATAAAGAAGGCTGTTCCATCTGGAATTTGCTTATTGCTAGGAAGTCGGGAGTCTTGATACCTTGAACAGTATCAGCCGACGCATAAATCTTATCTTTATTCAAATCAATTAGGTTGGTCCGCTGTACTTTACTATGTGAGGAATATTTTACACTCAGAACTGGAAAAGACTTCGATCTCTTCTCAATAGATATATTTTGATAATTTAGACTCCATTCTGATTTGCTTAAAACTGGTGTTGATTTCTCCGTGTTCGCTGTTTCAAATGAATATTGATTTGTCTCAAACGGTGTATCAACCTCGCCAATTAAACTGTCATCATCTGTTGATCCACGGGTCAAATCTGATCCCGGTGTAAGGGTTTTCTTTTTATACTCTCTTTCACTCGCAAGATTACTTTTTGATCGGGTTTCTTCACAGATTAAGAACGACTGATCATTTTCATCAAGTGTATAATTTCGATTTGCGTCCCAAGCTTCGAGTTTAATGCTTGTTGAACCCAGCCTTCTGTTTGACACTGGAGTCAGCATCACCTCGGATAGAACTGATTTGTGTGACAAATCGTCGTCTACAGTTGACGGTAGTCTTGCTTCCTGCTCTAATATCGGCAATGATCTATAATCAGCCAAATTTTCATGCAGTGTTTCTACTGATTCGTTGGTGTCAGATTCAGTTTGTCTTGTCTTGTCTTTATCTTTCGCTTCTGCGATAAAATCCAGATCATGTTCAGATGTTATCTTAACTGGATAACACATGGGCTTTTGACAGCCATCTGCAGTGTCGCTAACAGGGGCTTGATTAGCATGGGACGTATCAGAATGTTGTCTTGCAGCAAAGATATTGTCATCCGTTGTTTCTGGTTCAAGGCAGCTTTTTGACTCTTCAGTCAGCATAAGCAAGAAATTACACATTTTATTCACAGGTTTGTCGTCTGTATTGTGATTTAGTCTAGGAAACAGTTTAAGTCTTTCACAATCAACACTACGGTCTGAATAGTCACTGTCTGGTTGGTTAGTTTCACTCAGAACAAAGCCTGTTATTTGGTCAACCTCTGACTTGTGTTTAGAATATGTTTCGCTTAGAGAACAGCTGATTGGAGCGGGGGCGATTATATCCTGTGAGCTTTTTGAAACGGCAGATTCTTTTAATTCGTCCTGGGTCGTTAAAGCGTCGAAGAATTTTTCTGTTTCTCTAAAATAGGATCCCGACGATAATTCTTGAGAAAACGCCGTTTCAGATGGATGAAGAAATATCTCTTTCCGACGGATATCCTCTTTGTCGGGCGTTTCTGAATTCCCTATAGGAAACTGAAACGGATTCTTCGTTTCCAGCTGACGGCATTGATCAGAGGATTTTAACGCTTCCCCTGAACAATCGCTAATTGAAGAAATCTGTAAATGTTGTGTCCGATCACCTGACGCCCCAGTTGTCGTGTCATTGTTTCTTTGGGTCAGCCCCGGCTGATGTTTAATGACGGTCGGTGTTCTCAGATCCCTATCCGTGTCAGATATTTTCCCTGGCGGTAAAGCGGTGTCAGTTATGGAAAGCTTCGAATCTTTGCCCACACCCGACGCAGTTTCCAACCGTACGAAATCCGTCTCGTCTGAACTAGACAAGATTGCTTCTTTTCCGGAACTGATCCGTCCCCTCACACTGCATGAATCGACGCTATGTTTTAGTGACTCATTTTGATCAGCAAACAAGTTATGTTGATCTTTTGTACACGTTGGTTTAATCTGAGAAAAATCCGCTGGATTTAACGGTTTCATAATTCCCGACAAACTGGCCGATCGTTTGATGTTTATCAACTTGTCCTTATTTAGCTTTTCTAAGGAAAAAGAGTCTGCCAAAAGACCAAATGATTGTTTCAGAGTGGTTTCCTGCTCAGAAAAATCATCGCTTCTAATTTCACCTTCCATATCTCTCTTTTGGGCTTTCATTACCTCCGTTATAACTGATTTTGTTAAATCTTGGATATCCTGACCATTGTCTGTGCTTGAAGAATTTAACTTCTCCATCGGATAGATATCTGCAAAAGAAATCACAGGTTCTTTGGACACGTTACGTGATGCCTCAGGAAGAGAAGTACTTGCAGAATCTGAAGCTTCCGGGAAAATTTCTATCTCACTTTTAACGATATTTTTCCCGTAATCCGAATTGACAAGCGTATGTTGGGGTTTTGGGTTACATGTAAAGGAATTGCCAAGGTGTTCATCAGGTTTTTTTATAATTTCAGGGGTTTTAGGTATAGGCTTTTCATTCGATCCAAAACCCTTCAAATCTGTGACTCTCTGAATTGTGTCTATTTCTTGAGGAAAAAGAAACACAGGATCATCGCATATATGAGATGAATCTAAATCCTCTGATAAAGGAATTGATATATCCTGGAGCGTATTTCCGGACGAAGAATCTTCGTTTATAAAAATTTGTTCTGATTCTACCTCATTCGCTATTAATCTTGATTGTATTGAGATAAATCTACCCGGATCATCAACCGTTTTGGGGGGGTCGATATCCCTTCTCAACAGATTAGAAAGTGACCACGCATTTTTGGGCAGGCAGATTGACCCCTCTCGTAAGGAGGAATGGAAATTAGGTTCACTGCTCGAATTACTTAAAGATCTCCTGTTGTTCGTTGTTCTTAATTCGCCCGAAACTTGATCTCGCATATCACCGGATATTGGTCTTTTCCCCACCAAAGCAACATCCTTGAACAAAACCAGGCACCCTTCCCCTGACAGGGAAGATGGAAAAGAAGCGTTGCTGGTTGCAGAAGGGTAGGAGTTTCTTCTGGGCATCTTTTTGATTGCGTTTCCTGGTATCAGGAACTCTGCAGAGTCGTGTCTTTTGGAAAGAGGGTCTGTTTTTTCTTGCGACGAAGACGACTCGGACTGCTTCTGAAAGGCATCACGTGATCGCATAAATGGCGCCGAGTTTGTTTTCGTTGGCCTGTACCTAGTGTCTGACTTGGGAGAAGATGTTTCTGCATTTGCGCTGATTGGTTGGTTTAAACTGAGAACACACCAATCGGAACATGAATCTATGGTGTTTTCATATATATTAGACATTTCGATGTTAATTAAATGTTTAGGTATATCTGTTGATGTAGTTATTGAGGAGGTCTCTAAGTTGTTAGTATGTTCTAAAATATCAGTACATCTTACCTTAGTAGTTACCGTTTCACTTATATTCTGTGTGCTCTGATGTAAGTGTTGCAATTCCACCAAAGGAGACGTTGACCCGATATGTAAATTATTAGTTTTGTTGCAAGACTCATCGATCGATATCGAAGCGATTGCACTGTTCAAAGAATCTGTAATATTGGTTATGGTGATATCACTTCGATTTGAAGAGTTCAAAGTATCACGTGTCGAAATGCATGCAACTCCTTCGCAAGAATCTAAGAGAAATGGAGGAAATTTAGAACAGTCAAATGAAGATTTCTCCGTGTCGACTTCACTCAAAGATTTTTCAAGTTTCGTTAACTCTGCATTTTTGTTTTGCGAATCTTCTGGCTTGTGGTCGTCGACAGGGTGTGGGAAGCTTAATTTGTCTTTTTGGATCTCAGTTTTCGTAACTGGACCCTTAGTAGAATCAGATGACTTTTGTGAAATCAAGGAATTCCTGGACTGTACGTTTCGCGACATATATGGTGAGTCTCCTCTCGCTATTTCGACCGCCTCCGTTTCGCGCTGCTTACAAAGATTTTCATTTTTGTCGGAAAATGACGTCATTCTATAAATTGGTCTGGTGTGTTGAAGGGGAGTGCTGTCATCTGAGACCTCCACTGAAGAAGCTTCCGCAACAAGCGGTATATCTTCCGGGTCCTGCGTCTCGGACTGGTTTTCTCTTCTTGTTAGTTTTGGTCGATCTGAAGTCTCAAGCGTATGTTTTAATCCAAGAGACAACACTACCGCTTTTAGCGTAGACTCCACTGATGCGTCGTTGTTTTTTTCATCCATCGAAAAGACGTCGTCGTTTTCATTGTTCTTGGACAGTTGTTCATGAAAGCATCCGTCTTGAGACTGTGGAAAAAATTGGTTTAAGCTCATGGGATCAAATTCTTTGATATCGACGTTCGTAGCAGAATCTAACAAGGTATCTCTGAAGGTTGTATTAAAGGGGTTCATGCTCGGGAGGTGACAGAGATGTTCTGACTGCTCATGTTCGATTGTCGTTGTCATAAACGGTTTTATTGAACAAGCGCCGCCTAGTTCGTAATTTGCTTTCGTAAACGTTGTTATATCTGGTGACACCGACGGGGTTAAATAATCAGTGTCCAATGCAGATTCAATTACGTCTGGTTTGTAAGCAAGTTCTGTTATGTCAGGTGTTAGCACCAAAGTGTGTTCACTTTCAGATCCCGTTGTGAGGAGATCCATGTCAGTTGCACTTGGAAGATACTTGGAAAATGATGAAGACTCCGAAGGAATGGCTCCTGAATCGGCTATGGTGCTTGATTCTGCCCGAAAGACTGGTATATCGTCAAATGTTTCACGCCGGGATTTATCGTTTTCGGAAGAGGCTGCTAAATTCCATCGAGCTGGTGTCAGTTCGTCAACTATTTTATCTTGAAGAGTATTCCTGAAGGGATTCATTGAAAACCCGGAATTGCCCAGGACCATATCAAAATCCAAGCGTTCGTCAGGAGTCGAGACTTCTTCTGGCAATTTATTATCAAGTTCTAACGCTGTGGGCTTCAGTCTGTCACTGTGTCTGGAATCAGATTTTATCAAAGTGGACTCCGTGTCCGACAGCGTATGGTCCATGTCTTCAAAGACAGCGTCAATGTCGCAGACTGCAGAAGCTGGATCGAAGAATGTTTCGAACCAGTCAAATGTTGAATCAGAACTGGCAGTCGGTCGATTTGACTGGACGGTCGGGTAAGATTGGTCGATCTTGTCGGTCGTAAACGAATCCCATGATACGTCTGGAGAAGATGCCGCGCTGTAGAAGGTAATATCAGAACTGTCTGTGTCGTACAAACGAGAATTTACGTTGTCTCCTTCGTTCATTTATTTTAATTTGTGGGCCGTGTTAATAAGAAAAATTACATATTGAACTTTCCGTTCTTTTAATCTATATTTTTTTAAGATTTACATAGTGTACTTTTTTGACTCTGTCTTACGGCATGATTCGTTTTTATCTCGCTTTTTATTATTATTATTTTTTCTTTCTTTCCGTCTTTATTTTAATTATTCCGTTACATCTTCATCTTCCTTATCATCACTTTTCTTTCTTTTCTTTTTTCTTTTTCTTTTCGTTTTTCTTTCTTTTTTTCCTTCTTTATTTTCGTTTTTCTTTCCGTACTTTTTTCTTTTCTTTCCGGCTTTCTTTCTTTTCTTTTTTCTTTCTTTCTTTTTCCTTCCTTTCTTCCTTCTTTCTTTCTTTTTTTCTTTCTTTCTTTTTCCTTCTTTCTTTCTTTCTTTTTAGTTTCTTTTTTGTGTCCTTCTTTTTTCTTTCTTTCTTTTTTCTTTCTTTATCCTTTATCTTTCTACGTTTCTTTTTTCTTTCTTTTTTACATTTTTTTCTTTCTTTTTTCTTGCTTACCCCGCTATTTTAGTTATTTTTTTCTCATTGCTTTTATCTCTTCCCTTTCATTCTTGTCGCCTTCTTTCTTTCAACATATATATATATATATATATATATGTGTGTGTGTGTGTGTGTGTGTGTGTGTTATTTCCACTCCCTTTGTAAAGCTTTTTTTCCTCCTTTCTTTCGCTCTTCTTACCGTTCTGCCTTTAATTTCTTCATCTGTCTTTGTTTTCTTCTTTCCTTCAGTAATATATCCAGTACTTGTCCTTTTCTCTCTCCGTCTCCTTTAATTCTTCCTTCCTTTCCACCTTTCTTTCTTTTTTCTTCTCTTCCTCAAACAAGGTGAAAACGAGAGAAAAAAAATGTGTCTCTTCAAATAGGAAAATAAAAAAATAATTCAGAACATCAGAAGACGATCTCCTACATTCGGATTTTCGGTTGAATAACCAGCCGGATATTCGGTTGAAGAAGAAATGTTACACTGGGTACGAGTAATTAAACAAATAATTACAAACACACAAAATAATTTTTTTTTTTTTTTAGAATAAGGGAATAATTAATTCAGAAACGGAATTACGTAAGTAATTAAATCAGTAATTAACTGAAATTGTTTAACTCTTCACACTGAAACTAATTTTTAAAAACTATGCCTGTTGGACAAGTCGCCAAACGAAGCTTTGAAAGAATTGCTTTTGAAATAACTGATTTTTTTTGCGTCACTCGTGATATGAGGTTGCGTTATTTAAACACGTGGGATGAGATAACGTTATTGCGCGTGGTATTTACTTCATTTCCTCTAGCGATGACGCGCGAGAATTTGAAATGTCGTAATCGTTAGTGACCAATATTTCATTTACAGAATAAAAAAATAATGATCTTATAATAGTCTATATTTCTGAGATGAGGTCTTGTAACTATTTACACTATTTACATTGTTCGGACTGTTGTCCTCATCTTTATTGCCATATTCACAGTCTATATTTCTGAGATGAGGTATTGTAACTATTTACACTATTTACATTGTTCGGACTGTTGTCCTCATCTTTATTGGCATACATTTCTGAGATAAGGTAGTCTACATTTCGGACTGTTGAGCCATATTGTCTATAGGTATTGTAACTATTTACACTATTTACCTTGTTCGGACTGTTGTCCTCATCTTTATTGCCATATTCACAGTCTATATTTCTGAGATGAGGTCTTGTAACTATTTACACTATTTACCTTATTCGGACTGTTGTCCTCATCTTTATTGCCATATTCACAGTCTATATTTCTGAGATGAGGTCTTGTAACTATTTACACTATTTACCTTGTTCGGACTGTTGTCCTCATCTTTATTGCCATATTCACAGTCTATATTTCTGAGATGAGATATTGTAACTATTTAACTATTTATTTTCGGACACTATTTACATTGTCTATATTTTGATGAGGTCTTGTCTATTTCATATTTATATTGTTTGGACCATATATTCACAGTCTATATTTCTGAGATGAGATATTGTAACTATTTACACTATTTACATTGTTTGGACTGTTGTCCTCATCTTTATTGCCATATTCACAGTCTATATTTCTCAGATGAGGTATTGTAACTATTTAGACTATTTACATTGTTTGGACTGTTGTCCTCATCTTTATTGCCATATTCATAGTCTATATTTCTGAGGTAGGTACCTCCACTTTTTCGCTGAAAATTCCCCCTGGTTAATAAAGAAAAAAAATCGTTAAAATGTTAAAACTTACTGAATTTAATAAAATTTCGACAAATTAAATTTTCTTTCCAAAAATGTTTTATTAGTTTAAAGTAGGTCCCATTAAGGTTACTATTATTTTAAGAAAAAAATGGGTTTTACGTGTGTTCCTATTGAGACCTGACCCAAATAAAAACGTTGGTTGAATAATCCAGTGACTTGACGTAATATATAACGGATTAAATATTTTAACTGTTAAATAAGAAAGAGTTTGTTGTATGTATGTTTTATAAAATGTTTTCATTTTTCAAATCACGGTTAAGATATTGTGTCCATGTTCATAGTTAATATTATTAAGTGTTGTTTTTTTTTTATTAATAAGGCTTCCATTATTTTTAGCCATTTTTTTTTTGCATGTAGATGATGCTATTATATTAGTGTTGTCAACAAGTATGTTACGAATAGTCTCCAGCAGGTCTCCATGAATATTTAAATGAGGTTTAATTGAGCCATGGTCACAAAGGTGTAGAATGAGTCTGCGTGTCAAACATGTTGTAGTGTGGCCTGTGAAATTCTTTACGAATTTCGACTATTGTATAAATCCACTATATATGGCACAATGTGGTGATTAAATTATTAAATATATGTAGGAAACAATGACTTTATAGACAGTACGCATATATATGTGCGTGTGTGTGCGTGTATGTGTGTCTGTATGTGTAAGTTCAAAAATGAGACATACTTATGGTAATTTTTAAAATTAAAAAAAAAAATCTTTTACGAACTTTGTTGTTATTAAGTTTGGGGATTTTTTTTTCTTTATCATGCATCCTATTTTTAGCGAATTTTTGAGATACACACACACACACACATATATATATATATATATATATATATATATATATATATATATATATATATATATGCGTGTGTAATTGTGTGTGTGTATGTAAGGAAATGGATTAAATCCGGCAAGTATTTAATATATTTTGTGTATATACGTTATATTTTATGGATACGCTTATTTGTGTAAATTTTTCTGTTCTTTTAATTAAACAGTATTAATTATATTATTTACATTATTCGGACTATTGTCCTCATCTTTGTCGCCATATTTATTACAACGTTTCGACCGTTGTACGCTCCGGCCTTCTTCGGAAATTTGGAATGTCGAACTGAACCCTTTATTTCGCTGTTCTAGTTCCACGTGCCATGTTTTAATGGATGTCAGTTATCAGTTATCTCCTGTTAATTTCCCTCTGAAAGTTCTCCACTGCCTTAACCGGGTACTGAACTCACACTCTTTGGGTCCTGTCACTGGATCTAACTTCTAATTTCGCCACAGAGAAGCGTTTCGGTTAGCAAGGTTGATTTTACTGTTTTTAAACTAACAGAAACGCTCCTCTGTGGCTCAATAGGTAAGAACACGTCAGGCTATATGACGGTTCCGTAGAGGATACAGGTTCGATTCCATTCGGAGGATACTTGTTTTCTCCGAAATTTCTCGAACATTTGAACCGGTAAATATAATTCATACTATTTAATTAAAAGAACAGAGCATTTACTTAAATATTTGTCTCTATAAAAAGAAGGGATAAACGTAAAGAAAGTCTTAAAATATGTATGTGTGTATATATATATATATATATGTGTGTGTGTGTGTGTGCAAAAATAATGGATTTATTAATCTGCTATTTCTTATTACTACAAATGTTATTATGGTGGATACTCGTATTTGAAATAAACGCCCCGCTCTTTTGACAATGTGCCTTGCATCTATCAGCCAGTGCATTCGAGATATCTTAATAAAGAAAATAGGCTGTTCACCAGGGATCGAACCTTCGCCCGCTTTGTAGAAGGGACCACTGTTTGATTCGATGTACTTTCCACTTCGGCAACAGGGTTTGGGCACTGATTCAATTTCTACCGGAGAGTACATTTCCTTTATCAGGATTTCTCGTATGTGTAGGCTTAATAAGGCTTTAAAATATAAGAAAATCAAAACGGGGCTTCTATTTCAAATAAGAGTATCCACTTAAATAACGTTTGAAATGATAAATGTATATATACATGGTGATTTTCTAAGCCATGCAAGGATGTGACACAAAGATGAATGTATGGGGCACTGAGTGAGGATCGAACTCACATTTCAGTGTATGGATATACGTACTAAATATAAAACAGTTCCATTATCTTATATAAATGTGTACTCAGAATTTCATGTATTTTTTCACATGCTGTCCTCAGCAGATTTTTCTCTTTCGTTGTTTTACATAATTTTTGATGACGTCAATTGTTTAAAATAATTCTGTTAATGACGTAAAATTGATGTGTGAGATAAAATATTACGTTCTTGCATTTTCTTTTTGGTTGGCGAACGAAGATCCCAGAAGCGGGCTGTCCACATCTGCAAGCCTGTCGATGGCTGATTCTAAAACTTCTGCTGTTTCTCTGATGACCGATCAGACAAAAACGGCAGGACAGGCGAATCAGTCCAGAATGATTTCAGGGCCTGATTCCACCCGCTTCATGATCAGTGGTCTCTCCGTTTTTAATGATAGTCAAATTCATATTTAAAATCAAAGTCCAATTTTAAAGCAATAAAGATTCTTCTCTTCAGATTTTCTTACTGAAATAACTTTTTGCATTGAACCCAGAATATCCGATAAAATTGTCGACAACATTTTTGGACTGATTAATGTGGAATGAAACAACACTATTCAAAATTTATACCCGTGGAAACATTTAATTCCGCAACGTATATATATATATATATATACATG